GGATGGTCTCAATCTCCTGACCTCGTGATCCGCCCATCTCGGCCTCCCAAAGTGCTGGGATTACAGGCTTGAGCCACCGCGCCCGGCCTATTTATTTTTTTAAGAGAATCTCTCCCTGTTGACCCAGTTGGAGTGCATTGGTGCAATCATAACTCGCCTCAGCCTCCCAAGTAGCTGGGACTACAGGCGCATGCCACCACACCTGGCTAATTTATTTTTTGAGACAGAGACTTGCTCTGTCACCCAGCTGGAGTGCAGTGGCCGGATCTCAGCTCACTGCAAGCTCCGCCTCCCAGGTTCACACCATTCTCCTGCCTCAGCCTCCTGAGTAGCTGGGACTACAAGCACCTGCCACCACGCCCGGCTAGTTTTTTGTGTTTTTAGTAGAGACGGGGTTTCATCATGTTAGCCAGGATGGTCTTAATCTCCTGACCTCGTGAGCCACCTTGCGCAGCCCACACCTGGCTAATTTTTAACAAATTTTTGTAGACTGAGTCTTGCCATATTGCCCAGGCTGGTCTCAGACTCCTGATTCGTGATTAATATATACGGTTGAGTGATTTCCCTACTTCTCACTATCTTACAGAACCACCCTATAAGGTAGTTGTTGTAGTTAGCCCCATTTTACTCTTCCTGAGGCACGGGGAGATCAAGGTCACTTGCCCAAGGTCACACAGTTAGTAAGCAGAGCTTGCAACTTAACCCCTGACTCCAACCTTTGTTCTTTTGTTAGGCTTTGTTATGTCTTGTGCTTTTTTTGTGTGGTGGGAAAGCACATGGCCAATGTTTCTAGAAACTTCAAATAGTAAAAACAAAACTTAATAGTATCTTTATTTTTGCTTTCATCCCAGAGGAGTCTGATAAATACCCTCAAGAAATGTTATTGATTCTCAGTGACTGTATTGTATTCCTCAGAGTTATTGTTCCTAAGTTTTCTCCTCTCACCAGCTAGGGGAAGTTGGCCTAGGGCCTAGGCATTTCCCTATCTGCCGCACCTCACCTCTTTCTTTAGCCAAACTACTGCTAAATTCTGCTGCTAAAAATGGCAGCATTCTGTGTTACCTGCACTAGAATTTGCTTCCTTTCTAAGTACCTTCTTGATGTCTTCCAGTGTTGGTTCTGGCCTCCTACTCTTGCAAGTTGAAAAGTTGAAAATGCCTCAGGTAGAAATGTTCTCTCCTATTCTCCCATCACGATCATCTGTGGTTTTTTTTTGTTTGGTTTGGTTTTTGTTTTTGTTTTTGAGACAGAGTCTCACTCTGTCACCCAGGCTGGAGTGCAGTGGCACGATCTCAGCACTGCAACCTCCACCTCGTGGGTTCAAGCAATTCTCCTGCCTCAGCCTCCCAAGTAGCTGGTATTACAGGCACGCGCCACCACGCGTGGCTAATTTTTTGTATTTTTAGCAGAGGCGGGGTTTCACCATGTTGGCCAGCCTGGTCTTGAACTCCTGACCTTATGATCCACCCGCCTCGGCCTCCCAACGTGCTAGAATCACAGGTGTGAGCCGCCACATCCGGCCCTTTTCTTTTCTTTTTTTTTTTTTTTTAAGAGAAGGTTGTCTTCCTATGTTTCCCAGGCAGGAGTGCAGTGGCCATTTGCAGGTGCAATTATATAGCACAGTACAGCCTAAAACTTGTTTTGTTTTGTTTTGTTTTTTTAAGACAGAATCTTACTCTGTCACCCAGACTGGAGTGGTGCAGTGGCAGTCTCAACTCACTTCAACCTCCACCTCCTGGGTTCAAGTGATTTGCCTGTCTCAGCCTCCCGAGTAGCTGCGATTACAAGTGGGCACCACCACACCTGGCTCATTTTCGTATTTTTAGTGGAGACAGGGTTTCACTATGTTGGCCCGCTTGGTCTTGAACTCCTGACTTCAGGTAATATGCCCGCCTCAGCCTCCCAAAGTGCTGGGATTATAAGCATGAGCCACTGTGCCCAGCCTACAGCCTCAAATTTCTAAGCTAAAGTGATCCTCTTGTCTCAGTCTCCCAAGTAGCTGGGAATACAGGTGCTGATATGGTTTGGCTGTGTCCCCACCGAAATCTCATATTGAATTCCCACATGTTGTGGGAGGGACCCAGTGGGAGGCAATTGAATCTTGGGGGCAGGTCTTTCCCATCCTGTTCTCATGATGGTGAGTAAATCTCAAAGAGATCTGATGCTCTAGGCCGGGTGCGGTGGCTCATGCCTATAATCCCAGCACTTTGGGAGGCCAAGGCGGGCGGATCATGAGGTTAGGAGTTTAAGACGAGCGAAACCCTGTCTCTACTAAAAATACAAAAATTAGCTGGACATGGTGGTGCATGCCTGTAGTCCCAGCTATTTGGGAGGCTGAGGCAAGAGAATCACTTGAACCCAGGAGGTGGAGGTTACAGTGAGCAAGATCGCGCCACTGCACTCCAGCTTGGACAACAGAGTGAGACTTCGTCTCAAAAAAAAAGAAAAAGAGATCTGATGCTTTTATAAGGGGGAGTTTCCCTACACAAGCTCTCTTTGCCTGCTGCCATCCATGTAAGACATGACTTGCTCCTCCTTGCCTTCTGCCATGATTGTGAGGCCTCCCCGGCGATTTGGAACTGGCTTTTGTAGACCTCTTGCTTTTGTAAATCGCCCAGTCTCAGGTATGTCTTTATTAGCATTGTGAAAACAGACTAGTATAGTAAGTTGGTACCAGTAGAGTGTGATGCTGCTGAAAAGATACCCGAAAATGTGGAAACAGCTTTGGAACTGGGTAACAGGCAGGGGTGGAACAGTTTGGAGGGCTCAGAAGAAGACAGGAAAACGTGGGACAGTTTGGAACTCCCTGGAAACTTGTTGAATGGCTTTGACCAAAATGTTGGTAAGGATATGGACAATGAAATCCAGTCTGAGCTGGTCTCAGATGGAGATGAGGAACTTGTTGGGAACTGGAGCAAGGGTGACTCTTGTTATGTTTCAGCAAAGAGACTAGCAGCATTTTGCCGCTGCCCTAGAGATTTGTGGAACTTTGAACTTGAGAGAGATGATTTAGGATATCTGGTAGAGTAAATTTCTAAGCAGCAAAGCATTCAAGAGATGACTACTGTTAAAGGCAATCAGTTTTTTTTTTGTTTTTTTTTTTTGTTTGTTTGAGACGGAGTCTCGCTCTGTCGCCCAGGCTGGAGTGCAGTGGCGTGATCTCAGCTCACTGCAAGCTCCGCCTCCCGGGTTCCCGCCATTCT